TCCATATCACTGCCTTTATCGTAATCATAATGTTTGCGGACGGACACACCGACAGACATACCGCAAACCGACACACCAAGATTCTGCCTTATAATAAGAGAGATTGACAAGTTTCTATGGCACATCAAAACGACGAATTCCTCATGAAGAACAGCAAAATTTCCATAAGTGAAGAAGTTTGTTTTGCCATCAGCGCTGTCAGATCGTTACAATTGTCAGAAAGGGTCTACAGTGACTACCTATTACCGTGCAGAGGCACATGACGCACAGCAGCCACTGTGTAGTCAGGTGGTTGGCTCTTTGGTGAAGCTTGCGGATTACAGGAGCCAGCGGCATAGAGGTAGAGGTCAGAAGAGGCAACAACGAGAGAGTGAATGCAAACGTCCGAGCTCCCTGAACGTCGGCAACCCAGGACTCAGCCCACATCTTCTTCCCAGATACCCACTGCCAAAGATGCCTGAACGCCAGCATTTTTAGCGTGTACATTTTGTATTAACACCACATATTTCACTGGCACCTCCTCTATTCTGATTGTCTTATGCTTTTCTAGGTGAGAGGCCAGTCACGCTAATTTCAGTACCATTTTCATTATGATTTCTGATACCACAAACCCTCTTTGCACTAGCTTCCACTGGGATTTAGGACTTTTTTCGAATATTCAGGATTAAATTTCTATGGTGGAAGACTTACGGGCAATAGAGGCGGCAAATCATAATGTTACCGAAAGCAGCAGGTAACGATAAAAACAAAAACATCATACAGTCGGAGAAGTTGCATATAATAGCTTTGTTACTGAAATGGAAGATCTTGATTTCTCGAAGTAAAATGAGAAGGTAATGAGCCCTAACAAATCAAACTGAAGAGGGACACTTGCCTGAACGGCCACAGAAGGTATGGAGAGACTTGACTCTTTGGATGACGGCAATTGAACATGTTGTTAATACTGGAAGAAAAAGGTAAAAGTTGAATTGACAGATAATCATGAAAGGCACAGTTCACGATAAACATGGCTTCTGACATTTCCCGCTAGTATGAATCTGTGGCTCCCAAGAGTAGTACATGGGCCGATGTCGGGCCAGACAGGACGTAATAAGAGCTCCAAAACCGGTTTGGCGGACGCAGTCACTCGAAGTGGCCGTGTTGGTATTACTGCACTATTCACAGGACGAGACAAATAGTACGCTCGAGTGAGAGACACCCAGACGGCCATCCTGTACACTGTCCTCTTGCTACTTCTTGAAATCCTGCATTTTTGAAAATCTAACAATTTTTGCAATCTCTACACCACTCTTGCACTATTTCGCACCATTACATTCATTATTTCACGTAAAATAATTCCTCAAAATTATCGTGAACTGTGCCTTCTATGAAGAAAAGTAAGTAATAATCACTGCCGACTTAAAGTCTACCCTCACACAAGAACACCCTATGTGGGGATTTCGCCATCAAACTACCAGAAAAGCAACCAGGACCAGTAACTCGGGAATGGATATTGGGGAGAAGTCAAAACCATCCAATAAATTGGATAGCTACTAATTTCAAAGGAATTTTCGAAAAAGCAAAATTAGGTTTTTTTATGAACAGAAATCACCACTCCATCCAAGTATATGTACGTGTTTTTGCTACCTTCCCAAGTTTGACTTTTTCTTCTTCCACGGGGCTTCATAATCCATTTAAACTCACTTATTCAATGAAAAGTTCGTAAGACTGTTCTCGATCAATGTCATCGATTGGATAGTATTACTGTAATTTGGACGGCGAGGTGTGTCTTCCTAAAATTGACTTTTTACAAGATTTCAGAAGCAGCATTCGATTTTGCTGGACCAAACCAATCAAAAAATAGAAATTGAGTAAGTAAACCTCTTCGAGACTCACCGCCATTAAACCAGGCTCAAAGCACGTAGACGATTTTTTGCGATTGAAGTTTGCAAATGGTGTCTCTGCGCCCCAAAACTCGACCATTTTCGAGACCTATAAGTATGTTCTAGAGGACTTTTGTAGAATAGTTCGAATGTCGAGCTGGAGACACCAACTTTTGCTTTCATACTATGTCGGCATTGCATTACTGAGGCATTGCTTGAGAGACTCGGCGACTTCTCGTTATCACAGAGATCTAACGTCCTCCTAGAATGTGATAAGTGAACTTCTACTGATTTTAGTGGTCTATTTTTCTTGTTTTCGAAGTTTTTTTTTACTGATTTTCAACACTGGAAGGAGAAGATTTCTTTCGCGTGAGCTACGACGCTTCCAAATTTCATGTTTCCCTGAAAGGGATTTCTTCTTGGAGAAAAACTGCGAGAGAAGCAAGGGGATGTCGGAGTGGTCTCAGAGGATAAAAAGGTTTCAAATAATTAGCTCCTTGTTTTACAGGAATTCATTGTAATCAACTGCCAAAGATGCATTCAAATGCCACTACATTGGCAAATGAAAGTCAGTTGCGCGTAAGCATCTAAAGCGAAATGATCAGTACCAAATACCTTTACTAACGGCTTTTCCATCAGAAATGTGTGCTCCTGATAAAATGCAAAAGACATGCGTTCGGGGGGAATCGAACCCCCGTCGAATGCTTGGAAGGCATCCATGCTAACCATTACACCACGAACGCGCTGGCCACCAACTCTGGTGTTCGATTGATGAATCACCTGATGGGGCGGTTTTTTACGCGATAATTCGTGTTCGCGGTGCAAGTGTAACAAGAACTATCCCGAAAAAACATGTTCAGCCCTGTCAAAATGCGTTCGTGGAAACCAGCCAGTTTTAAACCATTACAATTGATTAGCAAACCCAGCTATTGTTCTATTTGCAGATCGTCTTTGAAAACCAATAGTAAACAATGTCGTAAACAACCTCATGTAAACAAGGCAGGGAAAGTTATACACACCTCAGGAAACCTATTGATTAGACTTTTCGTAAGCATAATGGAGTAAGGAAAGGTGTGGGGGGAATGTGTGAGGTTGGAAGGTAAGGTACAAGGTAGGTAAGGTAGACTTTTGCTGTACAGGGCGTGGGTCTGATTGACCCTGGGGGGGAAATATT